TAATAATAATAATAATAATAATAATAATAATAATAAAGTTGGAAGGGACCTTGGAGGTCATCTAGTCCAACCCCCTGCTCAGGCAGGAAACCCTATACCATTTCAGACAAATGGCTGTCCAGTCTCTTCTTAAAAACTTCCAGTGTTGGAGCATTCACCGCTTCTGGAGGCAGGTTGTTCCACTGGTTAATTGTTCTAAAAGTTTCTCCTTAATTTTAACTTGCTTCTCTCCTTGATTAGTTTCCATCCGTTGCTTCTTGTCCTGCCCTCAGGAGCTTTGGAGAATAATATGGATTTAATCTGTTAGACCAAGCTGTGGCAATGCCACATATTTACTACTATTGTCCAGATTTATTTACTCTAAACCACATACACAAGCCAATTAGTTTACCATTGAAGCTCAAACTGTGATGGATTGCAGTGAAGTGACAGTTTCTCAGGAAGAAGGGGATCCGGGACGGGAGGGGGCAGAACAAGAGACAGCACTGAGAAAGGACGAGAATTTCCCTGCCTGCAAACAGTTAGTCCTCAACTTACAATCACAATTGAGCCCAGAATTCCTGTTGCTAAAGGAGACAGTTGTTAACTGAGGTTTGTCCCATTTTATGACCTTGCTTGCCACAGTTGCTAAGTGAATCATTGCAGTTGTTAAGTTAGTAATCTCCCTGGATACAGGGAGTCCTCGGCTTATGACCACAATTGAGCCCAAAATTTCCATTGCTAAGCAAAACAGTTGTTAAGTGAGTTTTATGACCTTGTTCGCCATAGTCTATATAAATAAAAATGTAAATATTCGTTTGTTCAAAATCTTAAATCTCCTAAAGTTCTTCACCAATTGCTTTGAAATTTTGACACAACGTTGCATTCGAATACGCGCATGTTTTTATATACCTACTATTATATAGCTGTCACACCTGTGACAGGTAAAAACATGCTTTTTTGAAAAACAGCGCCATCTGTTGGACGTAAAAGCAACACACGCTACGATTAAACATATTACAAACGTGCGCTTTCTCTTTTCTTTCTTTTCCATTTAACCAGACTGAGCCACAGCAACACGTGGCCGGGTACAGCTATTGTTAAATGAATCACTGCAGTTGTTAAGTTAGTACCTATACAGTAGGTATATTCTACACTAACTGTGTAGCTACTGCTGAAATAAGATGAAATACCACCTTATTCTTTTCCTTCAGAGTTGTTCTGTGGCTTTTATTTCGACACTCTTTTCTGAGAAGTTCAGCAAATTCAATTGTTGACTTTTAAATGCACTTCCCAAACTCAAAAGCTTACTTTGATGCTCAGAAGTAAAGGTATTGTTAAATGAAACTGGCTTCCCCATAGATTTTGCTTCTCAGAAGGTCACAAAAGGTGATCCCATGACTCCAGGATACATAAATACCAATTGCCAATTGCCCAAATTTTGGTTATGTGATGATGGGCTTGGTGCAGTGGTGAAAAATGGTCATAAGTCACTTTTTTCAGTGCTGTGATAACTTCGAACAGCCACTACTAAATGAATGGTTGTAAATCGAGAACCACTTGTATATTCATTACGGTGAGAATAATAAAAAGTTTAATCTACCAAGATTCTGACTATTTGATGTAAACAAATATAGAACAGAACTTTGGCTGGATTGTTCGATGTCGTGCTTGGGCTAGGCCTGACACTAATAGAATAGAAAAAAAAATGAAAAAATTTAAAACTAAATTTTAGGAATCTATTTGCTGATCTCCTTGTAAGCTGCCCAGAATCACTGGGACTGAGTTGGGCAGCCATATACATTTTCTTAAATAAAGATAAAATAAAAAATAACATTTTAAAGTAAAATTGGATTATAGATACTTTAGTGCAGGGATTCCCAACCAGGGGTGCTTGTAACCCCTGAGGGTACGAGATAATATTCCAGGGGATGCGAAAACTTGGGTTTTCAAAATTATAGTGTATATGCAGAATCCGTTGCCATTATTTCAAACTTTTGCAAGGAATGTGCGAATATATCAGAAGCATTATAGGGCGCAGGGTATAGAAAAAGTTGGGAACCACTGCTTTAGTGAAATAAATATCTAGCTGATGAGCTAAAGTCACTTATTTTTCAGAAAATATTATGAACTGCATCCTTTGTGAGTTGATAAAAAATAAATAGAGCAACTAAGAGTTGCTGTTGATATCATTAATGTCTGAGTTACATTTAAAAAATGACTATGTATGACTGCAAAGATTGCAATCATTCTTGTGAACCACTCAAGCTCAAATATTCTTAGAGAATGGGAACAGTAATCTAATACCCAGAATTTATTCTGCCTGAGAATCAATTTTTAAGTCTGAATTTGTTGTCTGTCTAGACCAGGGGTAGGCAACCTTGGCTCTTTTATGACTCGTGGACTTCAACTCCCAGAATTCCTGAGCCAACTCTGGGAGTTGAAGTCCATGAGCCAAGGTTGCCTACCCCTGGTCTAGACTAAAAGCTACATATGAAGTGGGAAGAATTAAGATGGTATGATACCCTGAATACCACAAGATGCCATGCCCCCACAGCAGCATGCATGGCACAAACCATGCCTATACTTATTTAATCCAAGCTTGTCAGGACTCACAGAATCTGGAAGAAATTGCCTGCCTGATCACTGTACTGCTCTAGGCAAATGTTTGAGACAAAAGCTACAGTACATTGAAACTGCAGCATGACCTCTAGATTTGGGGTCCCCAACCCCCCAGGCTGTGGCCCACTATCAGGCCATAGCCTGTTCGGAACTGTGCAGTGGGTGAACACGCCTGCGTGCGGTCACAGCTCCATTTGCACGAGCAGTTGGCGAGTGCATGTGCTCAGCCACCACCACGCATAAACATTCCCTCTCCCTCCCCCCACCCACCGGGCCACAAAGTTGGAAAGTTTGGGGATCACTGCTCTAGATAGATGGCCTGCCAATCAACATCCTGCCAATATTCAGGATTACATTCTGATTCATTTTTATCTATGCTTAATTGACCAAAGTCACAAACGTTCCATTTCCTGATTCTACATCTGCTTCTTTTCCCTCACTGTGAGAAGATTTTTGTTTTTGGTTTGGCAAGTGAAGGCATCAAAGAGTAAGTCATTTATTTTCTACCTTGTGCTTTGCTCCTTCCAGGATGACAAAGAAATTGATCTGGAGCATCTCCACAGACGTGTGAACAGCCTCTGCACAGATGATGAAAGTCCCCATAAACAGTTTTCCACTTCATCCATTGACTTGACTCCAC